GTCTATTTCTGACTTATATATATATATATATATATATAATATATATAGGGTTAGGGTTAGGGTTAGGGTTAGGGTGCCTGTAGTGTACATGGGTTATTCAGAAATACAGTACAGGGTTAGTCAGAAATAGCTAAACAAGCCAGGTCAAACAGAGGTCAAGGGGACATAGACCCTACGAGCGTATCTGACTGTACGTTGGCTAGACTCTTGTAACAATTATCCTGGAAAGTGCGTTGTTCACAAGGGTTGCTCATGAAATGTGCATTTGGAAGAGTTGCTTTTGTGTTCGTCATTACATGTATAGGCCACCCGATGTGTAAAGAAATTGAAGAAACAAAAGCTATTTTTCCCTCCCAACTGCACCCTTTTTTCTCCGTCCTTTCCTCCCTCCCGCTATGCGACCTCCTCCTTATCTCGCTTTCTGTCGCCGATCACGCCCTCCCCCAACTTGCCTCACTCTTTCTCCCCCCCCCTCAATCCCCTCTCCCTCTCCCACCCACTCCCTCCCTCACTCCCCCTTTCCCACCCACTTCCTCCCTCCCTCTCCTCTTCCACCCACTCCCTCCACTCCCTCCCTCCCCATCATCCCACCCACTCTCTCCCTCCCTCCATCCCACTCTCACCATGTCCCTCCCTCCCTTTTTCCCACCCACTCCCTCTCTCTCCTTTTCCCACCAAATCTCTCTCTCTCCTTCTCCCACTCACTCCCTCTCCCCCATCTCCAACCCACTCCCTCTCTACCCTTCTCCCACCCACTCTCTCTCCCCTTCTCCCACCCACTCTCTCACCCCTTCTCCCACCCACTCTCTCTCCCCTTCTCCAACCCACTCTCTCTCTCTCCCTTCTCCCACCCACTCTCTCGCCCCTTTTCCCACCCACTACCTCGATCCCTCTCCTTTTCCCACCCGCTCCCTCTTTCATGTGAGTATAACAACCCCTAACAACACAACAGCTGACGTTTTCTGACCAACTGTACACTCGCGATTAAACTATTTGTTCTATACACGATGAGATAATTAGCAGATTCAGTATGCCAAGAGTTGGGCGCCACGGTCCTTCAAAAATTTTCTCACGGGTGAGTTCGCAAGGATCAACGTGCACAGTAGGGTAAGGGGTGGTGCCACGCTGGTTAGTAAGGTCTTGACAACGCGGTGACCTAAACCCTATAAATTAAAATATTTATTTCCGAAATCTCCCAACTTATGAAAACTTTATGAGTGCATGTAAGTTTTGTGTGTGTCAGTATAGGCTGAGAGTGCCAACTAGGGATGACCTGTGGCCTGTCATGGCCGAAAACCAGTCTACTTAGACTCTAGAAGAAAATCAGGATCGAGTAGTGAAGTATCAACCATGAGACACCTTGCAGCAAACAGGACATCAGATAACGTATCTATAATTATTGTCTTAACTGTTATTCTACACGGTGAGGTTATTGAGCTCAGTTGCTATCGTAGTCGATTTTAAGCCAGGGGTAAGCTAGGGACTTGCAGTATAGCTTGTCACTTTCCTTTCTGTAATTTTCTATGGCCGACAATGTCATGGGTGAGTTTAGTCTACTCAATAGAGGATTGGTCACAACCCCAGTCAAACTGCAAAGCCAATTCCTTCATAGGAAGTGCAATACACATACATGGAGTGTGCACAAGTTCCATTTTAATTAACATTATAAACACTTTATTGTTGCAGCCGAGATTACAAAACTGGTCCAGCAGTATTAATCAAAAATATTTCTTCATAATATTTAACATATCTTACTCATTAAACTTATCACAAATATAAGCTCCTGTTTAATATAATTTCTTATCCCTTACTCAAAATATTTTCGCCCGAGAACAATGTTTTGATATTCTAGCTCTAATGCAAATAAATATTCCAGTTGAGAGTACCTACTCGTGTTCATGGTGAGATATAGCATCTACCTTTGCACCTGACACAATTTCCTCATCAGCACCATTTAGAAACCACACAAGAGCATTTCGATTTAGCACATCAATGTGTCGCCACTACAAATCTAATGAAAGCAGAAAGTCTTCCCTAGGTGCAGATGCATGCCTCGTTCTGGCTTCTTCCACACGAACGTCTGCTCGTAGGGGACACACCGTCGGAAACTTTTTGCCTAAGCTCCTTCCTTTTGTTGCAACATAGAAGAAGTAGCTAAAAGCATTGCCAAAGGTCTCGGGCTGCACGGACCAGCCGTGAAGCACTTTCATCAGCAAAGGCACGCGGAAATGTGGCTGTGAGAATGTTACGGATATGAATTTTCCACACTGTGTCGTCACCCTGGCAACCTAAAAGAGGATGTGAGTATGTTTTTGCCTATCAATATAATTGGTCTAAAAACAGCTTCATTCTATTTACATCAAGTATACCATACAAGAACAAATAAATTTTGCAATTTGCCAGTTAATTTTAAATACTTGAGACTTTTTGAACTGTTTATAATTGTCTAGAACAAGCATTGTATCCTTACAAGTGTATAAGTGTCATTTCTGCACAAATCACAATTTTAATAAACTTACCTCGCTTAGTATATCAGTAGTCAAGGCTTTGCCATCATCAGACAAATGCCATGGGTCTTTTTCTTCTACTAACATGGCATCCAATGTGCCTTTTTCTATGACAACATCAAAAGTGGATGACTGAAACTCACTCATGTCTCTGATGTCCATAACTTTCCACTTCATCTCTGTGTATTATTAGAACATACATTTCAATTAATTTCAAAACAATTATAAAATGATCACAAATCAATTCTACTCATATCATGAATTTAGGCCAGGTAAGTTTGTGGATTATGAGCACACAGATAACCAGTGCAATGAGACAGAGCACTAGTAGAATAATTTATATTAGCATTATATAAGCCTATAGCATGATTATATAATATATATATATATATTAGCACGCAGCTGCCAGACACCTAGTGGATATGTGCGCTCATGGTCTGGGTCATTGTGATACCTTTGTTCCTTGAACTTCTAGCACATGTGCCGTGTGTGAAACGCAGTGTGATACCTTTGAGGAAATGGCACAAATGAACACAGAGAGCTAGCCAGGTGCTTGCATCACAGTTTGATGCACATGACGGGGAGAGACATTCTCATTGAGAGCAAAGCGATGGCGCACAGTTGTGTCGAGGGAGATGTCGGGGGTTAGGGGAGTTAGGGGGTTAGGGGAGTATCGGGGGTTAGGGAGTGTCGGGGGTTAGGGTTATATCACACCCCTCACAGCAGGCTATCCCAGATGCATGTATGCATGTATGCATGGCACATCCATAATATATAATTCCAATACCGCTGAATAGCCGAGCTGGTAGAGCGGCTGGCATTACGTCTGAAGTTTACGTCTGACGTTGGGCTTGAAGTCCCGGCGTTAGTTTGAATCCCATCTGTTAATTTTTTTCTTTTTTTTTCTATCTTTATCCATTTAACTATTTTTCCCCAATTAACGCAAATATTTACATGATTTATTTACAATTTTATTTAATTAAATTTAATTAGGGTTAGAGTTAGGGTTAGGGTTAGGGTTAGAGTTAGGGTTAGGGTTAGGGTTAGGGTTAGAGTTAGGGTTAGGGTTAGGGTTAGGGTTAGGGCGTAGGCTGCGGTGGTTTCTGGGATAGGACCTGCTGTGAGGGGTGTGATATAACCTCGACCGAGATGGGGAGTGCGAAGTTTGTTGTGTGTGTACGATGAGGGGAGAGGAGCAAGAAAGGAGACAGAGAGGGGGAGAGCGAAAGAGTAGTAATTTAAACCCATATCAGCAGTCCGCTCCGGTCCAGTGATATATGGACCTGTACACTACATTCCTCTTTCATTTGTATTGCTGAAAAGGCATTAGTGATAGAAACCCCCTAGGGAAAGTGTGATTGTGGAGGACGGGCACCCCTTTATCTTAAAGCAATCGTGCAAAGGCAGGCCAAATACCTTTCACCACTTCGTGGGATTTGCTGGTGGGTGGGGTCTCTGGCCAGATTCAGCCATATGGGAGAGGAAACTCTAAACTTACCTCTATGGTTTATGGGAGAACTATAAGTGAATCTATGTGCAAGTATTATGCACTCTATTTCTTTTAAAACAGCTATATGGGTATTAAGCAGAAGTATTTTATGGACTTATCAAATTAACAAGGGATAGGATCACAGCTAATATCAATGTAATTCTTGGCTCTTGAGCCACATGCATATATTCATCCCTACATCCAACGTATTTCTAAAAATATAAAATTGTATAATTGCCTGAACAGCAATGCTCGTGTGTTAAAGCCATGTTCTGTATCACAACGTCTGAGTAATCCACATTGGTAATGTGTATAAATCCATTGTCGAACATCTCCCTGCTCAGTGAACTATTGCCACAACCTGCAATATACAAATAAGAACATTGCAAATCAAAAAAATCTATAACAACGCACACACGCACTCAGTAATATAGTTTACCACCCCCTTCTTGTCGGCGACCTTATTTGCCCAGCCGTATAACTCACACTCATAGCATATGCTCATACTCGTACTCATATTCATAGCACTCCTATCCCCTATCGGGGACTTGAGCCCCTCTTGGCCTCCTATTTTGGCAACTTGGTCACTAATGGATATGCCTTAGCTTTCATGGCAGCGGTTGACTGAACTTCAACTTGATCCAAGATAGCTGTAGTGTAGTGGCCCTAGGGGTGGCCACACTGGACTTTCACACGTGCTGTGGTTAGCACGTGTAATTTATTTGTGTTGGGATCATTTTTCGCTCCTACCGTGAAGGCAGGAAGGTGATGCAGTAGCAAGAAAAATCCCAGAGTGAAATGAACGCAAGTCCTTAGATAGTCTTTATACAACTGATGGTTTTATTCATCGTATACGAATAACATGAATAACGTTCACTGCACGTATCTCAAATATAGCGTATAGATATAGATATATATTACTCGTGTCACGTTTATGTTACCTTGTTAGGTGATTACATGTCTAACTTCTCTTAGCTATTCTACGGGTTAATATTGTAGCACCCGGCGCCGCTCCTCGTCTGTCTCTCCCCGTCGTGTGCTCCGCGGCTCGGCGCGAGTTCGTGGGTTGGCAGTGTGTCTCCTTGTCCGGGGTAGGCTATAGCTCCGCGCCCCTGCCTTAGTATAGGATATACCTTCTCGGGCATCATCCTGCTTGTGGGTGGCTCTCCCTCCGACTGTGTGTGTGCGCCCTCTCTCGAGTTCGTTCGTTTGTTCGTTCGTTCGTTCGTTCGTTCGTTCGTTCGTTCGTGGCCGTCCGAAGACCGACTGATTTTACCGTTGAATCTTGGCTGCTTATATAGGACCCTGCGGTGACGTAGGATCCGGGCAGTGCCTCCCTCTCACGTGCCTCAGGTGCCTGGCCGTTGTCACCCCCTCACGTAACACGTGTACGGGTGATGCAACTCCCTTGGTCCAGTATATGTCCGAGTCTCGCACCACCCCTGTCCGCCACGTGCTTGGCCGGTGCAACTCCGTCGCCCCGTGCGTGTACATGGTGGCGCAACTCCCTTACCTCCCACATCAGGTAGCTATGGGACCCCCTCCCCCGCGCTTGTCTGTGTCGTTGGGGAAAACTTTGTACCTGTCGCTAGGGAAACTTTCTATCTCTGTTGCTGTTGAACTGGTCTCTGGTTGTATGACGTCATCCCCCCTGAAATCTCCACAGTAGTGTGATGATTCTATATTTATCATCTATATAGGACAGGTGATATAGAGAGGTGTATGTACAGGTGTATTTGTCACTACTAAAACTCCT